TGAGCTGCTGGAAGGCTGCATGCATTCTGCCTGCAGTTGTGTCTTTTAACCATTTGTGGCACTTACTGAGCAAAAAGAAGAACAGGAGGACTTGTGGCACCTTAGAGACTAACAAATGCATCCGAAGAAGTGGGCTGTAGTCCACGAAAGCTTATGCTCTAATAAATTTGTTAGTCTCTAAGGTGCCACAAGTACTCCTGTTCTTCTTTTTGCGGATACAGACTAACACGGCTGCTACTCTGATAATAATGTGGTAACTCTCCTTCTCTTTACTCAGGGCTTTTGGGAAAACCATACAAAACTGATCACGGAGTATGGACCTGTTTGTGGGTAAGCCAGCAATACTCTTCCTTTATTCTGTTTGTTTCCTTGTTGGTTTTCAACTTAGGGTATGTCTACACTACCCACTGGATCGGCGGGCAGCGATTGATCCAGCGGGGATCGATTTATTGCGTCTAGTCTACACGCGATAAATTTACCCCCGAGCCCTCTCCCATCGACTCCTGTCCTCCACCGCGGTGAGTAGGTCTAAGTACGTCGACTTCAGCTACGTTACTCACGTAGCTGAAGTTGCGTAACTTAGATCAATTCCCCTCCCCTCCCCCAGTGTAGACCAGGACTCAGTGACAGTGAACTAATGCCACTTTGCTCCTGAATAAAAGCATCCAGATGGAGGTTAATACTCTGATGTGCATCGACTTCACACCTTTAGTTAATTCACCTTCCCTTGCTTGAGTGTCTCCATATAAACAAGTCCTAACATTGAACATACAGACAATTCTGCCTAGAACTCAGTCTTTCTCAGGCCTTTACAAAGCTACCAACCTGGTAAAATACGGGTGTTGGTAGCAGCAGCACAAAGGAAAATATATCTCTTCTCTCATGTGAACATTGAACTGATGAGGGGAGGAAGTGCCCGTAAAGTTGCTTCAGTTTACGTGCCCGTCACCTATGTGATTTTGAGTTTTCACCGTGAGACAAGGAAATGTCCACCAAAATTTAATTTAATTTAAGAAAAAAATCACGTTTGCAAAATACTGTGAATTTGAGTTAAAATCTCTCACTCCATATCTGTACAAAACTATCCATTTTAAAAATATCATGAAGTAAAAAGTAAAAATTGCACACCTCTTTCCCCTGTCCTCCAGCAGTAGTTAACCCCTCACTAGTGCTGAGGAGGGACTACACCTCAGGAACAGTACACAGGGACTTCCCTAAAGTCAATAATTTCACTTGTCTTTGACTCCCACATTGGTAGCACAAGTTTTGCATTGTTATTATAGTGCTAGAGCTGCACTTTGCCTTCCATTCGTTTCTATCCTAAGTGGAAATAATGACTTCCAGGTTCTCTCTATCCTTGGTATTTCCAATGTGCTTATTACTTTGATATATAAATACTGACCAATACTTACAAAGAAAGCATGGACTCAATAGAGACACTGGTTTTGTGTCTCATTACAACAATCTGTAACTCACTAATTCCCTTTTGTCCTATAATGCCGAAGTCTCAATTGCCCACTTCATTATGAATGGTTTCTTGCAACATGTTTTAACTTCTTATGCTTAACAATCTGTTCCACCTTGTATGTAGCTGTGATGCTCTGATTACCTTTCCCAGACCTGATGAAGAACTCTGTGGAGATTGAAATCTTGTCTCTCTCACCAGCAGATATTTGTCCAATAAAAGATATTACTTCACCCACCTTGTCTCCCTCATATCCCGGAACCAATGTGGCTATAACAACACTGCAAACAAAGAAAGCATAAATAGTCCTGAAAGGTTTTTTTCTTCCCTGTTCCACAGAAGTTCAGAATGTGTATGTGTGTAGATTATAAATATGTTTTGGATGTTATTCCTACAGAAAGGCTTTATCAAAAAGGAGTGTTTTATAATTAATCTGAAGACAGGCAAGTTGAGGTTCAGACCTAATGGAAGTCTCACTGCTAAAAAAATACTCCACTCCCTATTTCTGACAATCTAAACCAGGGTCTTTGCAACTGTGTCATCCCACAACTATGTCTGCAGATAGCAGAGGATGAGGTGGTCTGCAAGATCATAGAACCATAGAATATTAGAGTTGGAAGAGACCTCAGGAGGTATAGTACAATCCCCTGCTCAAAGCAGGACCAACACCAACTAAATCATCCCAGCCAGGGCTTTGTCAAGCTGGGCCTTAAAAACCTCTAAGGCTGGAGATTCCACCACCTCCCTAGGTAACCCATTCCAGTGCTTCACCACCCTCCTAGTGAAATAGTGTTTCCTAATATCCAATCTAGACCTCCCCCACTGCAACTTGAGACCATTGCTCCTTGTTCTGTCATCTGCGACCACTGAGAACAGCCTAGCTCCATCCTCTTTGGAACCCCCCTTCAGGTAGTTGAAGGCTGCTATCAAATTCCCCCTTACTCTTCTCTTCTGTAGACTAAATAAGCCCAGTTCCCTCAGCCTCTCCTCATAAGTCATGTGCCCCAGCCCCCTGGTCATTTCCATTGCCCTTCGCTGGACTCTCTCCAATTTGTCCACATTCTTTCTGTAGTGGGGGCCTAAAACTGGACCCAATAGTCCAGATGTGGCCTCACCAGTGCCGAATAGAGGGGAATAAGCACTTCCCTCAAGCTGCTGGCAGTGCTCTTAGTAATGCAGTCCAATATGCCATTAGCCTTCTTGGCCACAAAGGCACACTGTTGACTCATATCCAGCTTCTTGTCCACTGTAATCCCCAGGTCCTCTTCTGCAGAACTGCTGCTTAGCCAGTCGGTCCCCAGCATGTAGCAGTGCATGGGATTCTTCCGTCCTAAGTGCAGGACTCTGCACTTATCCTTGTTGAACCTCATCACATTTCTTTTGGCCCAATTCTCTAATTTGTCTAGGTCACCCTGGACCTATCCCTACCCTCCAGCATATCTAACTCTTCCCCCCAGCTTAGTGTAATCTGTGAAGTTGCTGAGGGTGCAATCCATCCCATCGTCCAGATCATTAATAAAGATGTTGAACAAAACCGGCCCCAAGACTGACCCCTGGGGCACTCTGCTTGATACCGGCTGCCAACTAGACATCGAGCCGTTGATCACGACAGTCTAGCAAGCTTTCTATCCACCTTATAGTCCATTCATCCAATCCATACTTTTTAACTTGCTGGCAAGAATACTGTGGGAGACCGTATCAAAAGCTTTGCTAAAGTCAAGATATATCACGTCCACTGCTTTCCTCATATCCACAAAGCCAGTTATCTCATCATAGAAGACAATCAGGTTGGTCAGGCATGACTTGCCCTTGGTGAATCCATGTTGACTGTTCCTGATCATCTTCCTCTCCTCCAAGTGTTTCAAAATGGTTTCCTTGAGGACCTGCTCCATGATTTTTCCAGGGACGGTCTGTAGTTCCCCAGGTTCTCCTTCTTCCCTCTTTTAAAGATGGGCACCATATTTGCCTTTTTCCAATAGTCTGGGACCTCCCCCAATCGCCATGAGTTTTCAAAGATAATGGCCAATGGCTCTGCCATCACATCAGCCAATTCCCTCAGCACCCTTGGATGCATTAGATCTGGACCCATGGACTTGTGCATGTCCCGCTCTTCTAAATAGTCCTTAACCTGTTCTTTCACCACTGAGGGCTGCTCACCTCCTCCCCATACTATGTTTCCCAGGATAGCAGTGTGGGAGCTGACCTTTTCTGTGAAGACCGCGGCCAAAAAAGCATTGAGTACTTCGTTTTTTTCCACATCATCTGTGACTAGGTTGCCTCCCCCCTTCATTAAGGGTCCCACACTTTCCCTGATCTTTTTCTTATTGCTAACATACCTGTAGAAACTCTTCTTGTTACCCTTCACATCCCTTGCTAGCTGCAACTCCACTTGTGTTTTGGCCTTCCTGATTATACCCCTGCATGCTCGAGCAATATTTTTATACTCCTCCCTAGTCATCTGTCGAAGTTTCCACTTCTTGTAAGCTTCCTTTTTGTGTTTAAACTCACCAAAGATTTCACTGTTAAGCCAAGCTGGTCACCTGCCATATTTGCTATTCTTTCTGCACATTGGGATGGTTTGTTCCTGTGCCCTCAATAAGGCTTCTTTAAAATACAGCCAGGTCTCCTGGACTCCTTGCCCCCTCATATTAGCCTCCCAGGGGATCCTGCTCATCAGTTCCATAATGGAGTCAAAGTCTGCTTTTCTGAAGTCCAGGGTCTGTATTTTGCTACTCTCCTTTCTTCCTTTTGTGAGGATCCTGAACTCAACCATCTCATGGTCACTGCTGCCCAGGTTGTCACCCACTTCTACTTCCCCTACCAACATAAGATAGTCCATAGGGCTTTGTAGACTAGGCCAGGACTTAAAGCTCAAGTTCTGAATTGGATGGGAGGAGAATGCAATTCGCAGAGCAGTGGTTGCCTTTGTTGTCTGAGGTATTTGCTGTACCAATTGCATCCTTCTTATAGCAGTCACATTCACCCCTAGGGAAAGTGTCTTGCAGAGATAAAACCAAGAGGAATGATATCATGGCTGTCAGTGGCTAGATCCTCGTTTGAGAGGAAATGATATAGTGTCCTGGCCAGCCAGAAATAGAAAAAGATGTTCATTACCACTGTGGCAATTTGCATTTGTTTGTGGTAGTAATGGACTGAGCATGATTCTGAGGCTTCATATTATTCCAAAGATCTGTAGTCTTATGCCGTTAAACAATGGTGATGATAGAGCACTGGCATTAGTTCCTCAGTATGTTTTCCCTATTCTTATTAGTATCACATCTGTTTTTAATTTGTTGATCTAGAGCTCTCTGCTTTTCACTCATCGGCTTACCCGTTCCTTCAGGCATTGGTGATGGCAGAACAGTGTCAGTAGAAAAATGAACTGGTGGCACATGAATCACACTCTCCCTGAGTGGTCTCTTGTAGCTGTTGGAGGATGAGAGAAAGCACTAAGCCTTGTTAGACTGCACATAAGATAATACGTAGGTATATATCCTGTCTCTCTGGGGTCTGGCTGATAGGAATGAGTGGATCCAGCACACTGCTGCCCTGTTTAATCCTGCAAAGTCTTGTATGTGTGTCTTCAGCTCTGTCTGACTAACGGTGCTGAAGGCTGCAGAGACATCTAGCACTAGTAGCACAGAGGTTTCTTTCCTATCTGTAATGGTTCTCAGGATATCCAGGACTGAGTGTCACCTTGTTACCACCTCCACCCCATCTCCAGCATGAAGGAGTCTTGCTTGTGCTTAACTGGGTATCAGCTCCCTGACACCACCAGCCAATTAGCCACCTAAGCACTCTTTTCTGGGCTATGCCTTCCCTTACTTTGCCTTGCAGGTTAACAATAAGTACACCCCAGTCCCTG